CCCTCAACCCCCCCCCTCAAAGAAAAAACTCCTCCCCAATCTCCCACCCCAATTTAAAAAAAACCGTTTTCTTGACACAAGATAATGCCACCGCAGTTCCTTTCCACACACAGCCTTAACTGAAATACCAAAATCACAGATGGAATGAATGGAGCAGTGTGACATTCTCTCAGGACAATTAATTGTCAGAATTGAAAAGAAACCTATAAAATCAAAGACTTCATTCAGCTGACAAACTTAATGGAAACCCTCAACACAGATGATGAGACAAATTTAATCTCATATTGCAAACTTGGCCACTTTTATATTTTGGCATTGGCCATTGGGCCCAGGCCTAAACGGATGGTGCTTTGATATAATATTTGATCAGTATAATATTTCTGTAGCTATGTACAAAGAACACGCACGAGACTGCCTTCAGCAAACATAATAACAAGGTTTCACATTACAGAAAAAAACATGTTTTAAAGTACATCTCATATTGTGTCTTCCTCGTCTTAGTTAAGTGGCCGGCACATGCACGAGCCAATGGACGCAAACCAATGAACGCATACCAGTGAACGCAAACCAAGCAACACCCCGTACCTGGAGCCTTGGCCTGGGTTCATTTATTATTTTAAAAAAAATTGTAACAGCCTGGGGGGATATCACATTTTATCTGCTTAGCATACATAGTCGGCACACGATGTACAGGGTTTTATTTTTCATGCAGAATTTTTATTTAACATCAAACTGGCATAGTATTTAATTTTGTATCAAATTCAAGTACACATTTTGAGAGAAATGTATTTATCTAATCCCATCACTCCAATCTTTCTCGGGCCAATGGAAAAATATTCGGCACAATCTAAATTTCTGGTCCCATGCCGCGCCCCGGGCCCGGCCTCATGATGTCTACTACACAAGCAGGAATTTCTGACGGTTTAGGAGGTTCGGGGCTATAGACCTGGGGCCAGATATCTGCGTGTGTGCGGCCCCTCAGGGTAGGGTGATTATCCCCCCCCAACC